ATTATATAATCTGCGCGATGCTTCCCGTATACTTCTTCTTATCTGATCTCATAATTGGCGGAAGTGGTGTAGTGGCAAGTGGCACGCTTACCACGCGAGCGGTCCGGGGATCAAATCCTGGGTCGTGAGTCGCCCGGGCCAACCAAGCCTTCCATCCCTCCGGGGTCGGTTAATTGGTACCAGACTTGTCTGGGACTGACTTGTACATCGGCTGGCCCCCGCAAGTCATTGTATAGGCCACATCGCATTCAAACGCCACTACGAATGTACAAATGGAAGTATTAGGCGTTTCAGAAAGTTCTGTCGTTTTCCGACCCCGAATTTTAAATGCATGTATCTCGGCTTAAACTAAACCTTTCAAGTTGATTAAAAAACCATTCGAATGCGCGAACCTTTCTCTATAAGAAACCGTTCAACTGGGTACGTTTGTTCAGAATGCTGGAGCTCTGGAGGCGATGAACTGAGGGAAGGTCGTTTTAGCATCATGTTGGGTTTTGATGCATTTCTCTTCAAGGAAGCTATCGAGATCGTCAGAAATGTGACAGTAGATAGACCAAAGGTCTACTAAGTAAGATGTTCGCAGAATCACTCTGAAGTTCAGCTGGTCCAACTTGTGAAGGGTTGGCGGTGCGATGTGCGTCCAAGACACCTTTCAGGATGTGTCCGTTCCTTTATAATGAGGAATGCTGGACACATGTCTTGGAGTTTTTGGTGAATTTTGGCGTAATGTTAAGACTGCTTTCCACTGTAACAGTTCCTGGTTATGAAGAACCAGGCCAGCCGCTGACCTTATGAAAGTTGCCATAACCCTCCTTCAGCACAGTTTAAGTTTTGCAAAGTTTGTAGAGCTTCATCGCCGTCGAGCTATTCAGCAAAGCTTCGTGGACTGTAGAGAAGAATCCGCTCTTTATTGTACGTCGCAAATCTGTAGAAAAACGAGTCGCTTTTATCACATAAAACAAGCTACAATTTGATGGACGACCCTTCAAATTGGTGATTTGTCGCGGCACGCCCCTATCAAATTTTTTGGACTTTCCAGCTACTTCCGTATAGCTTGGCTGTACAAACCATATACGCCCAGGTTGGGCAGAACCTCCTCTATGGTCACGAGTGCCTCAATCAGAACTTTTGGCTAATCGGTGGCAACGTCCGATATCTGACACCACTAGTATCATACCCAAGGCTCTCGCTTTCGTTACAATAACTTTTCGAACTACTGCTTATGAGCACATTTATTGCGAATCTAGGCCAAGTGCATCGTTAGGCTGGTGTCAGAGTCCGCGATTCGATTTGCGCGATTTTCGCGATTTTCGCGATTTGCGCGATTTTCGCGATTTTCGCGATTTGCGCGATTTTTGCGAAACCTGCGATGGGTCACAGGAGTTGGAGGTGCCCCGATGAATACTGCGAGGTGCTGTTTAATCCTGGAAATTGAAGGAAGACTGCCCGTGACTCGTTTAATGTTATGTCTATTATTCATTGAAATGCTCATTCGTTCAGGGACGGAACTGCATCTATTCTGAACTGACCATGAGGATGACCATGAGATCGCGCGGATCACAAAAATTGCAAGTGGCCCATTTGAACAATTGAAACACTGAATATGAAGCAAGTGGAAGAGAACACCTTGCAGTATTGAATGAGGCACTTGAGATTTCCGTGACCGTCGCGCAAATCGCGAAAATCGCGAAATCGCGAAAATCGCGAAATCGCGCAAATCGCGAAAATCGCGAAAATCGCGAAAATCGCGAAAATCGCGCAAATCGCGAAAATCGCGCAAATCGCGAAAATCGCGAAAATCGCGAAAATCGCGCAAATCGCGAAAATCGCGCAAATCGCGAAAATCGCGAAAATCGCGCAAATCGCGAAAATCGCGAAAATCGCGCAAAAAATCGCGGACTCTGACAGCATCGTTAATATCTTGAACTGTTCCCGCCACTTTCAGGTCTATTTAAAGCTAGAAAAAGAAAGTCATGCCAACTTGCTCATCGAGTATACCGCATTCAAAGCTTTGAAAAAGCTATAAGAAAATGTTTAGGACAAAGCTGAGCTAAGCATTGGATAGAGCAGGAAAAGCTCTTCAAAACGGCATTCATACCGATTGCAGTTTTCCTGGATTTCAAGGAAAATAGAGCATCCAAAAGTGGAGTGAAAACGACAGAACTTTTTGAAACGCCTAATAGAATGCATGCTGCCTCCCAAAAAGGATTGATTAATGGCGAATGCTTTATCCTTTTGATCTCATAATTCACTACCGTTTCAGCGCTCACTGTTTTCTTGCTGGTCATCATTCTTGTGGTTGTTATAACAGCAGCGGTGGTCTTCATCCTAATATCCAAAAGAAAAAAGAAACATGCAGAAAGCAAAAGCAAGCTTACGGTAGCCAACCACATTACACATACATCATTGCGTAACATAATGCTAATGTTTACGTTGCAGGAGGCCTCCACAGTCACTGAAACGAAATCTGCAGCGAAAGATGAAAATAAAGAGGCCGACAAGACGAAGAGCCCAAAGGTATCGAAAAAAGGGCCGTTCAAGAGATTCGGAGCATTCAAGTCGACCGGTGCGTCGACAAAAAAAGGAGAACAACAGAATGAGAAGCCAACGTGAATTCCCTCAATTTAAATTATTGAATGTTGATGTTTGCTTAATCTTTATAAGTGTTCTATTGCTACAAACGGGAACTTATAAATGTTTCTTAACTTTTTGAATGGCGTTTTCTACTGGGATGTTAGAGGCGGGAGTTTTTGTTAGAAATCAAGATAGAGGTGGTCAGTGGTGCAAGGATGTAGTAAAAACGACGAGAGATGATCCAGGACTTGAAAAATCGACCCCTTAACTGCCCTTTGCAATCCGCACTGGTAAGACTCTCCTCGGTGCTTCCTCCTCTGCAACGCTAACGCTCTCTCTGTTAGAGGCTAGAGTCAGACGGTGTGGGGTTGGCCAGTCGGCAGAAGTACGGTGGCGCGAGCACCTCGGGTATGAATGGTCCTGCTAGGTCGCTGTGAGCATACTCTTCGCTGCAAAACTGCATTGCCCAGAGCCCTTGAGGGGCTGGCGTGTCTTTCGGTTAGATATTTCCTTTGCTTCGGCCTCCGATCTGCCACTGAAGGCACAATGCCAAACTAGGAAGACACACCACAAAGCCACAAACCCACGTAAATAAACAATCAAACACGCACCTACCTTTGTGTTTATGCCTTTCGAACATAAGTGAAGCTCTGAAGGTTCATGGTCAGCGGCCAACGACACCGACCACCTGGCTCATCACCATGCATTACGTTGCACCCTGCATCTTTCTTTCGGGCAAAGCACTTGCAAGAAGTCTGACCATCAGTTCGGCGATCGCTTTGGATGTTTCTCAGACATCTTCATAGATTAAGATGAAAAAACACTGTGTTCAAACGGTCATAAGAAGATCGTACAATGTTCCCATCCTATCTGCTCTTCGATGCCTTCGTAGATGTGCTTGTAACCCTTGTCCTCAATCATGAACGGAGTTTGGAACTCTGGATTCTTTTACAGTACTCTTTGCCTCAAAATGCTGCTCAAACATTCGCGAACATAACGAAACCCTCCACTGAAATCGCACGGCGTTTGAGGGAAAAAGACGCCTCGCCTCTTTTATGGTTGCCGGAGACTGGACAGAGCAACATGCAGGGGAGGCGTTAGGGGCGTTCGAGTCGGTTGCTATCTGTTTATTCCGCTCTTCCTTATGCTTAACTGCTAAGAACTTCAGTCCGTTCACTCTTGAAGAGTAAGTGTATGCTTATCTCATGCAGTTATATGCGGTTCTTGATGACCCTTCTTCGTTATCGCTAAGCATAGAAGAGGAATCAAACCGAACCTGCCTTTTCTCACAAAAATCACCACTACCGAGTTCAGCTGCGAATCGACTTTTCCACACCCACAATCAAGATCAACCATAAGCTGCTCTGCCGGGCGTGATACATATATATAAAACATACTATGAGGCATACCTGATGAGGAGAGAAATGAGAAGAGAATGATATACCATGATCGGCATGTTGCGTGTAAGTCCCAAGGGTTAGGGTCAGGACGACTGCGCTGGTCCACCGACTTATGCCGGGCAGATGGCTCTCCGGCGTAGACGAGATGAATGGGACCAACTGCGCTTGAATGGTCCAGCCGACTGACTTCGAGACGAACCGGCGTTGACGACTGCACTGACGACACTGACTTGAACCGACCGACTGCGCGCGTGACTGGCTTTTCCCGCGCTTCCAGTGCTTTCCATGCTTCGCGGTAAGACCGCATGCGACTTCGAATGGAGCGCGGTTTCATCCCGGCGCATATCGTAAACCCAGGTCGTACGCAAGTCACGACACTCCGGGCGGCGGAAGGAGATGCGCCGGATGCCGTTTAGCGACTGCGACGAAGGAGAAATTGAGGTAGTAGGGGGGTACCCGCAACCCGTCGATCTATGGCATGACAAACTGACAGACTTTTATATACTATGAAATGGCAAGGGTAAAATATGGCAAGATAATATGGCAATAAGTAAAGCTTCAAGTGACATCGAGCATAGTGAGGCCTTAAGGGCACTCAAAAAACCATTACAACAAAAAGTGGCAATAAAGCAAAAAACTTCACAAAAATGGAAAACATACAAAAAACTACAGACAAAACTAGTAAACAACAGAAACTACTACACAATAGGTAACTGAGATCCAACCTTCTGAACGTCGGCGTCGACTGCGCTATACCATGATGTCGTGGAGACCAACTTGAACCGAAGCATCCAAACTGGAGACCAAACATCCAATCGTCCAAACGTCGAAACGTCCTATCGTCCTATCGAACCAATCGTACCAAACGTCCAAAAAGTTGAAGATGGTAGCGAAAAACTGACTGCTGCGTGACATGCGTCTTCTTCGTAACATGCGTCTTCTTCGTAACAAGCGTCTTCTTCGTAACAAGCGTCTTCTTAATGATGGCGATGGTAGTTTTCGTAGGGCACATGCGGAATCAGCAGATCAGATGGAGTACTCCCGCGGTTCTGAATGGTTAACAGGAGTGACACTGTAGTCTTCTAGCTTTTCCACTTCCTCAATGACTTCGTTAAGTCCGTCTAGAAGTTCTGGTAAAGTCCACGTTTTCCCTGAGCGGTGTTCCAGTTTGTAGACTTCCAACTGCGTTTCACGAGGGAACTTCTTCAATGATCGTCTTCATAAGTGCCAACGAGGTGGTGGTGTCCTCGTAGCGATTGAGTTGCAGAATAAAGGACTGAATTTGGGAAAGTGTGTCTCGTTGTGCCGAAGCTGAATGGCTTGACGCTGGCAACTGTTCCAACCTCTGATGGAAAAGGTTGTGGGTAAACTTGAGGGCGATCATATCGCCTACGAAGCGCTTGTACAGCAAGTTGGTAGTTTTCTGGCGTTGATGGATCGTAGCCTTGAACAATGAGTGCTGCGCTGCCCTTCAACGAGTTGGTCAAGTAAATGAACTTGGTCGACAACGGGAGAGTTTGGGTTATCAATGCACTGCAGTCCTGAATCTGGGCTCCATGGAATAGCTCACCGGCGGGCGCGGATGTGAGCGGCGGTGCAAGGTGACGTCAATTTGACGTCACAGCAGCGGGGAGGGATTGGGCAATACAGGCGCCATTACTTTATAACAATACGTATTAGACACTATCGATTCTGACTTCACTGTGCAGTGAGTAGAAGTAATAACGAAGAATGAACTTAAAGTAATCAACTTCGACTTAATTGCGCACTCGTTGGGTTTTAAATGCGAAACCGTTAATTTCCTCAAATTTGCAAAAATATTCCTAATTTTTCGACGGCGAAAAATTGTACCTACACACAATTGCACAAGGTACTACTGACTGCATCAATTAGTGAATGCTAGTATCCCTTCTATCAGCCAAACGAAGTGACAGCAACACTCCTACCTCGCCCTCTCGTTGCCGTTTTGTCGCAGCTGTGACGTCACCTGCACGCGCTCGCGTCCGCGCCGCGGTGAGCTTTTCTCTCCCCCCTGAATCTGCACCAGAAATCGTGAAACTTGGTGACATCACCGTCGAAAGTTGGCAATTCCAGACGACGTGGTTGAATCGGCTGTAGCACCGAACAGGGAGTGTCTTGTTTAGGCGTAGATGGCAGTGCGTCTTGGTTCGGATTCTGATGTTCTTGAGCCGGTTGGTTGTCTTGTGGACGTCCCGTATCTGAGATGGTCAAAGCGGCAGTGGCAGTAACGATTTCGTCGCTGTGCTTTAATGAAAGGATGTTTTGCAGCGACTCGTCTATAAGAAGTTGCGCATCCAGAGTTGTAATAAGGATTTGCGCGTCTTCTATAAGCTTCTCGCCTTGTTGTTCATTCCAAAAGCGGTCGACTTCTTGCTGGAGTTCTTCGCAATTCTCCTGGGTTCGAACAAAGGACAACAATGCGTCATAACGGACTCTAAGGAAGACCTGATGCGTTTTCTATCCCGCGTTTGACAGCAGAATTCACTCCTTTTCGACGTAGAATGGTACGGATTTGCATCTGCGGCGTCTTCTCGGTATCGATCGGCGTCAAACTGCTGGAATCAATAGTTGAAAGCATCTTGGATAAAGTACCAACCGCAATCGTTATCCGTGCTTTGTGTCCGCGGAGA